GCGCCGGGGCTGGAAACACGCCCGCCCCGGGGGAGGTTGGGCGGGGCCCTCGGCACGCGGCGGAGGATGCTGGCGACCCGAATGCTAATTCTGTCGTCCTGGAGTGAGGAAGTCTCACTGGAGGCGATTCTGTCGGTGGAAAGCATTTTCCTCGTCAGTTGCCCTAACGTTACTTTCCTGTTATTTAAGGAGTTTGTGCGTACTGCGGATGAGCTGACACAGATTTAACTCAGGCATTGAGTTCTCCTTTAGCTCTGCCTTCTTGCCAGCATTTGAAGGGATTAGGAGATTAAATGTCGGGAACTCACTCAACAGTAGTTTCTGTCCGATTAGGAGCTGCTCAACAACAAAGTAACTGTACAGTATCAGCTCAGGCTAATAAAAGAATTTGTGAAATTCATTCTAATTGCAGTTTGTTTTGTTGGGTTATTTTGCCCCTTTTATAAGCCCTCGTTGATTGGATCAGGGGCCTAACAGGACAGTCTTGTTTAATAATACGTTTGGGAAGCTATGTGGCTGACCTCTTCAGTTTTCCTGTTACCTGTTTTTCGCTGGTTAAGGAGCAAAGGGATAAAGACTGAACCGAAACCTATTTTCTTCTGCAGACTGCCCCTACCCGCTGTGGTTAAAAATGTGAACTCATGATAAAGCCTTTGATGAAGTCGTAATCTGAGACATTATTTCTACACTTACCTTTCCACTCCAAAGTTAGGGCCTTAGTTGGCCAAAGAGCTGAAATACTTAACTTTTGTGACTTACTTGATTAAGGAAGTCTAACTGTAGAAAACAGCCTGGTGAACTCCTTCCCTTAAGTCTGTTCTCTATTAGATTCTTTAAAAATGTGGCTCCCAACAATTGGGCTTTGTGACCTTGGATATATCTGGATCAGGAAGATGATTGCAATATTGTAGGCATATGGAAAAGTATTGAGGTGGTCATAATTAACTGAGAAATAAGATTCTTGTGCGTATTGTTAGATGATCATAGGCATTCCAGTAATGTGAAATGAGGTTTGAGCATATCCCACAGCATAAAATTTTAGTCAGTTCAGACTTCTTTCTCTTAGGGAACTTACTGTTTTGTAAAAAAAGCATTTAAGTAATTAAACACTTTTCATGGTTTTTTATTCCTTCCACTGTTTTTCGGCTAGAAATCACAGCACCTGAGAATACATTAAAACTGCTAGAATTTGCAAAAACCAAAGCTAAGAAATGCATTTTATATCTCAACGTAGTAAGAAAACATACACACATAATTTCAGAAAGAATATTTATCCTGTTTAGTGAACTTTGGTATTTTCTTTGTATTTTTTTTTAATACTGTTTAGGCTTGCAAATATATGTCACTCTGTGGTAGAACACTTCTCTAGCATGAGCCAGGCCTGGGGTTCAAGCCCAGCACTACTAAATAAAGAAGAAAGCGAGTGTTATTTAGGTCTAAATTCAGTTCATAACTCTGTAATGTGTCAAACACTTTGGGAAACAACTCTGCTGATTAATCCGATCATTTAGGTTAGTTTTTTTTTTCACATATTACTTATGAGAACTCAGTTTTATGTGATTGGTAAAGAAAAAAGCTTGTGTGAGATTCTGTGTACCTTTTAACTCAGAGTAAGTATGTAATAAAAATGTGTTTCTCTTAATATGAGCATCTCATCCTGTTCTATGTGATTGTATTACCTAATTACACCCGGTTTTTTTTAGAAGGCCCTGAAATAAGCAAGGAAACTACACGTTTAGCTGTAGAAAAGGTGATTAATTTCAGTGTGGAAAGAAAAGCTGTTTATTGCTCTTTCTGAGGATAGTAGTTTAGCTTCCAAATGCAGCTTTTCTCAATGAATTTTCAAGGATGTGGCAAAGGTTAATTTCAAGTACATGACATTTATACCTTATTGATTTAGAATCTAGTTCCATCATATTCTTAATTTTAATTGTGTCCTTCAAGAATGTATTCAGTTTGTGACAAAAGATGTTGGGAGGATGTGTATAGGCACATTTACTACCATTTGTAGAATACAAGCTGAGTAAAAGTTAGTGTTTATAAAACTAGTTTTATTTTTTGGTAGCAGCCAGTTATACTCATTAAACCTGTAAACCAATTTCAGATTTAAAAAAGGGTTTAGATGAAATACATGTTAATTACCAAATTTAATGATGAAACTGTCTTTTTAGAAGCAGATGATACTAAGAATATATTATGAGAGAATTAAACCAGCTTCATTTTATGCTAGAAATTTAGATGTGTTGAAACAAATATCAATTTGTGAATGTTTTCTGTGATTAGATTCCTCCCATTGTTAGTAGCTATATCCTAATAGCTGAATGTTTTTTGTGCAGGTTTTTTTTTGTTTTTTTGTTTTTTTTGGTGCTAGGGATTGAACTCAGGACCTTGCACTTGAGATCCAATGGCGGCGCCACTGAGCTAAATCCCCAGCCCTCTGTTAAGTTTTTAAAATGATAATTTACTAAATGGCTACTTTGTGTTATACTTAATAAATAATCTCTTTCTGTGGCTTTTCTTGAATTCTGATAGGCAAATTGTTTAAATGTGGGAAATAGTTTTTGGATGTTTGTTGACTTCATTCCTTTAGTAGAGGTAAATGGAAGGCCTCCTGTGTTTTTTTAACACTCATCTAAGTGTTTGGAGTGTTGATACCTAGTGAAAAAAGGCTGTTAGGGGTATCTGTACTTGTATATAGCTGATGTTTATTTTCATTGAAGCTGATAAGTAAAAGAGAAAAACCAATCTAACTTTAAGGATATATAGATCCAAATCACCTGCCCTTTAGTCAGCTGTTTTATGTACTGAGTTTAATAAACATTGTGAGAAGTGTTAGGAATTTTTATTTTAATTTAAAATTATTGGGGGGCCAGGGATTTAGCTCAGTGGCACTGTACCAGCCTTGCAAGTGCCTTGTAAGTGCGAGGACCCAAGTCTGATCCCTGGTACTCCCTGCCCCTCCAAAATTATTTGGCTCTGGAAATTCTGTAGTGAGAATAAAGAATTGTGGGCTGAAGATTTAGCTCAGTGGTTCTGCTGCCTGCCTCGAAAGCACAAGGTCCCAAATTCAAACCCCAGTACCAAAAAAAAAAAAAAAAAGATGTATCATGTACAGGTACAAGTTCCCTATGATGAATATGATCACTATATATCTAAATTCTAATAATTAAAAAAGAATTGTATAATGAGTAATTGTTCAAGGTTTTTATTTCCAATTTTTAAAAACAATTTCTATATAAAAGAAGGCAAATATAAAAGTATGATTGGCAATCATTAGTTTCCTTATTTAATAATGTCTGGAAAAGTTTGGAAACTAGTTCTATGGTTTTTTGGGGTGGAAGTATAATTTATTTTTGTATGGGAAACTTCTGCATGTGGATATACAATTTTCCTAGCATTTGTTAAAAAAAAAAGCTGTTTTTTTTTTTTTTTTTTTTAAACAGCATGTGCTTTTGTCCTCTTTGTGAAAAATCAGATGGCTCTAGGAGCATTGAGTTGTTTCTGTGTCTTCTATTCTATTCCATTGGTCTACTTGTCTGTTTTTCTGCCAATATCATGTTTTTGTTTCTATGACTTTCTAGTGTAAATTGATATCCAGTATTGTGATGCATCCAGCATCGCTCTTTTTGCTCATGATTGCTTTGCTTATTCTGAGTCTTTTCGAATTCCACATGAATTTTAAATTTGTTTTTTTCTAACTCTGTGAAGAATGTTGGTAGGATTTTAATAGGAAATTATATTGAATCTTTAGATCACTTTTGGAAATGTGGACATTTTAACGATACACTGCTCATCTGTTAGTAAGGGAGGACTTTACGTTGTTTAATGTCTTCATTTTCTTTCTTCAGAGTTCCATAATTTTCATTGTAGACATCTTTCACTCTTCGGTTGGGTTAACTCCTAGGTGTTTAAATTTTTTTTTTATGTTGTGAATGGAATTGTTTTCCTGATTTCTTTCTTCATAGGCTTATTGTTGGGGTACAGGAGCCCTACTGATTTTTCTTTTTAGTAATTAAAGGTATAATCCACTTTGAAGATATACAGCATTTGAATAATTAAAATACAAATCTATCGCTTTTCTCCACAACCCATTTGTAGCATTTTATTTCTCACCAAGGAACTTATTGTTTTTCTTACTAGACCTAATGTATAGCATGATAACTATGGTTAATAAGTATATTACATACTTGAAAATTGGCAAGAGAATAGATTTGTTTTCTCACCACAAAAAGCTGCTTATATGAGGTAATAGATATGTTGATTAGTTTGAGGTAGCCATTCCACTATATATATCATCTATACCATATATACTGTAAATATATACAGTGTTTGTCAACTAAGAAATAATAGTAAGATTCTAGAAGAAAAAATGGGTAAATATATTTTAAATCTTGGAATAGAGATGGCCTTTATAACTCATATATAAAATCCATAAACCATAATAGAAAAGGTGGATATATTTGAATATATAAAATTAATAAGTTCTCAAGAAAATCCTCAATGTGAATAAAGTTAAATAATCAGCGACGAACTGGGAAAAATTATAAACCATTTAGTGGCATAAGTCTAATTTTAAGATTTCCTCTAAGCTCCAACACTTTTTATATTTCATTGGCAGAATTTAAATCCCATAAGCCACAAGATAACTGAAGCCACAGTGATTGTTGGCTGGCAAATGGACAGTTTCTGTAAGAGAAGGGATGGTGGAGACAGATATAAATTGAGGTGTCTACTGCACAAGTAAACTGTACCAGTTGGAGGACTAATAAATGGAGTGTTCCAGAAAAATAAAACAAACCGAAAGAAACACTGTAAGGGGTTATCAAATACTTGTATTTTGGTAGCTATAGTAAATACAGTATCCAGGGAAGAATTCTCTTGAGATAGTGGTGTTTAGGCAGGCATGAATGAAGTAAAGGCATAATCTGTACAAAAACCTAGTAAGCAGTAATTATATGCCAAGGCCCTAGTTCGGTTAGAGTAGCAAAATCTGTGTGAACAAAAGAGATAGAGACAATGAGATTGGAGAGGGTGTATTTGGCCAGTTTAGGTGGGGGTTTGTAGTCTTATTCAATAGAGTGAGTTATTTCCTAATCTAATGGAAACCCTTTGGAAAGTTTTGAGCTATAAGGCTAGACACTGTCATAGAGAGCTAGGCAAGAGTTGGAATTAACTTGGACTAAAGTGATAGTAGTGACAGTGATAAGAGTGGTCAGAATTGTGATATATTTTGCAGATAAAGCCATTTCTGATGGTTTGGATATGAAGTATGAGGAAAAGAGCAACCAAGATTAACTCCTATATTTTGGGTTTTTCAACTAATTAGTAGATAGTGGTGCCATTTTCTGAGATACAGAGAGGCAGGTTTGTGAAACGGAAGGAATCAAGATTTTACTTCAGACAAGTTCTAACTTTAGGATGTTATTAGGGAATTGGCATGTAGGGAGTTGGAGATAGAAGTCTGGACCAATCAGTAGAGGAAACAGCTAGAGATAGAAATGTGGAGGTCTCAGTGAAAAGTAAGTGTGTGAAACCCTGGGGTTCGTATGCGGTCAGCTAGGGCAGTGTTTCTCAACCTTGAATACACAGATTCATGTGAGGAGCTTTCAGAAAGCACTGTATAGATGCTTGGATCTTAATTGAGACTAAATCTGAATTTTTAGGTCATCACTATTTTTTAAAAGCTCCCCAAAATTGGTTAACTGTCAAAAAGAGTTAATAATAACTGATACAGGCGATAAGGACCAACATTTTGCTATGTCAGTTGGATTTGAAGAATGATTTTTTTTTTTGTGCCAGGGATCAAACTCAGGTCCTTGCACTTGCAAGGCAGGCCACCGAACCGCTGAGCTAAATCCCCTGCCCTGAAGAATGATTTTTAACATAATGGTGGAGAGGAAAATCTTTATTAGAAGACATAGAGTGAATGGGAGGTGAGGAAGTGGAGACAGTTATTATAGGCAGTTCTTTTGAAGGAATTTGCTCAAAGGAGCTAAAAAATGGAGCAATCATTGCAGCGCAATTTCTTTTTTTTAAAAAAATTCACCTTGATATTCAGTAATTCAACATTTTTACCCCAAATTGTGCATAGTAGAAATATTAAAACTAAATACAGGTTACCAGTGTTAGAACTTTTTCAAATAAAATTTTCCTACTATACCTTTAAAGAATTCATTGCAAAGAAGTATGGAGCAAATAATTGTATTTTAAAATTAAGAAAAAAATTTAATGTAATGTCTTTGATATTGGCATCAAGCAATGCACTTAACATAGCTTTCTTTCTTTAAGGCTGATAAAGAATTTGTATGGTCTTTGTGGAAACGTCTCCAAGTAACAAGCCCTGATCTCACACATGCTGTTGGTTTGGTTGTGGAAAGGTGAGCTCTCAAATTATTTTTCATAAGTATTTGATTTGTTAAATGTGTTTATCTTCAAAATTAAAATTTGTCATTAGGGGCCAGGGATTTATCTCAGTGGTTCTACTGCCTGCCTTGCAAGTGTACGTCCCGAGTTTGATCCCTGGTTCTAAAAAACAACAAACAAATTGTCATTAATACCCTAAAGAGGTTAATTTGATTTCCAAATGAATGTGTAACAGAACATGATAGTTATTGGATTTATTACAAGAGATGATAATTCACCAAGTACAGGCAGGTCCTATCTCATCATATTCTGACATATTTGGAGAATTTACAGGTAAAACAATGGCTTAGACATGGTGTGAAAGAATGTATATAAGTGTGTATGTGTTTGCTTTGAGCTGTTACACTTGGTTCTAAAAATTGGAGAAGTCCCTATTGTTTAGCTTTTTACTCCATATACCGCCCCTATAGGGAACTTCTTAGGGCTTGACTCATTTTCCGCTAAAATAATTGTATTGTGTACTTGAAAGCCTTGGGATGGATGAAAGCCTTACCAAATTATGTAAGTGTTCTGGAATAGGCTGAGCAGTTTTACTTATGTGCTGTATTATCCTTAGGGGATGCCCACTCATTTAACTGTAGATTATTGGGCCTCTCCTTGGTCATTAAAAACAAAGTGTTGCTGGAGACTCCTCATCAGACATTTGGTGTACACTAGTTCCATGCCCCCAGCATAACAGTTAAAACAATTACTTTCCTGTTAAATGGATTCCATTGTATTTCCTAAATGAGAAGCTAAGTATATGGATACCTTTTCCTTGATGGGAATCATTTTTGATAATTTAATCTTAATTCATCTTTTGAGGTTTAAGCCCTGAATATTATCATTCTAATATTGTTTAGAGTTTGACTTTTTAAAAACCTTTAATAACATACTTGAATAGATCTAATTTTACTATCCTTGATTTTTGTGGATTCTTAAAATGTTGTAATCAGTTTTTGTTCATGTTGTTTGTATGTCTTATTCATCAGTTTTTTCCTTTTGATCATCAGGTTTAAGTCTTTAGTTGAAGGACTCTTGTTACTTCCTGTGTCATCTATGAGATGAAATGTGATGAATCTTGCTCCATTTTTTAGCTTCTGAGATCAGGCACATTCAGGGTGGTAGGACACTATTTTTTTATATGAATTAGAATAAGAATAAGCCTTTTAGAGGAGGGACTTCATGTGTCATTTCTGTGATCCTTTCTTTATATTCATCTCTTTTTATTATTTTTTCTACTTTTAGAAATCATCCTCCTCTGCTTTCTCTGCCATTGCATTATTTTGAAGCAAACCCCAGGCATACTATTTTACCTAGAATTTCTTTAGTGTTTTGAGTGATTTCTGTTTATTAATAATAGTTATATTCTATAAAATCTTTGGAAATACTGAATTAGCAAACACTGAACCATTACTCCTAGGGAAAATCAAGGGTTAGGTTCCCGTGAACCTTTGGTCACAACAGTTTTGTCAAAGGATCAACACTTGGCCATGTTTTATGTGGTTTCTGTTTAAAGATACCATATTTACTATTTATTGTTGATTGATCAACATTGAACTCATGTGCAATGGCACTATAACTCAAATTTTACTAAGTTTATGTAACATACTCTATTCCCTAAGCTACAAAAGTTTTCTTCACTTAGAAACAATAGAAAGCAGTTCAGTAATGATCCTTTTAAGAATCAACAAAAAGTATAGAAATGTGTACAATGTGGTGTTGCATAGATCATGTGTTTACAATATAACAGTTGTAACAAGAAGGCAGTGTCAGTTTGTTTGTTATTTATTCATTCATTGGTACCAGGTAGGGAACTCGGGTCCTTGCACTTGCAAGACGGGCAGTAGAGCCACGGAGCTAAATCCCTGGTCCCAGTGTCAGTTTATTTGACACAAGTTAGGAACAGATAGATAAGGTGGCGCCAATTTTTTGCCAGATTGTTCATGCCGGATGACTACAAATATTGGTTTTGTTGTTACAAATAAATTTTAATGTGGGCAAGTTCACAGATTCTGAATCTGCAAATGAGGACCAAATATCTCTAAAAATAAGAGTTTTCTTAAAAACATACAATACCGTTTTTATACTTAGAACTCTTTTCTATTTGGTTAAATATTGTGGGTAGTCACATTTTCTGATTCTTTGCATGCTTTATAACTTTTTCTTGAAAAGTAGACATTTTAGATGTTATAGTAGATCTGGTTACTGGTCTTCTCCCTCACATCCACACTTAGGTTTGTTATTGTTATTGTTCTTTTCTTTTCCTTTTTTTTCCGGTATAGGAGCTCAAACTCCAGACCTTACGCTTGTGAGGCAGGCACAGAGCTATGAGCTAAATCCCTTGCCTTATTACCTTGTTTATTTGCCGTATTTTAGTGAATAAATTGTTTTGCCTTCTCACTATGTTGAGTCTGATGTTGCTTTTAAGGCAGGTATAAATTTGGGTGTGCCCACAGTTACCCTGCTGTGTCAGTATTTTTGGCAGGGCTATCTTCTCTCTTTGACTGCACTCAACTGTTAAACTCCACTAATTGCCTGTGGCTCTTTGCTCAGTTATTTCAGTGATGCCTTAAGACATAAATTGTTCTGTAAACCAATACATTAAATTTGTGACTCTTGACGTTTCACAATCAGTGTTTGACTTTTTTTCAAATCTAAGAGAGGCTCCTTCCTCCTATCTCTCATAAACTAGGGAAACTAATTGGTCTGTGGAAGGGAGGCTATACCTTGATATCCTTAGTTTGCCCCCAATTTTGTTGAACCATTGTGTTACAAGCAGGAATAAAGGCTTTTAAGTCTCAGTGTGCTGCGCCCAAAATAGAGACTATTCCAAAATTTGGGATGGTAGAAGACTGGATTTTCCCCCTTTAACTGCCCTTGAATTGCACTTGGCTTCAGTGACAGTCAGCTGGAGCAGGATATGATATACTGATATTCTTTTCTTCCTAGGAAAAAAAGCCCTACAGTGGGGACCTTGCAGGGGCATGCAGAGAAGGAATCTTATGTTTTTGGCTGCACCTCTCTGGAGTAGAGTCTCTCCCCTCTTGAACTGAAAGGGTGCAAGGAGGGAGTTATCTTGGTTCAAATACCATAGACACTTGCTTTCCTTAGTGAATTTTAATATGTATTTTTAAATAGATATTTTTCTCTATGGGTTTGTCCTTAGGATAATCTCTAGAGGATTTACATAGTTTTCTTACTATGTTTTATAGCTTTCACTAGTTTCATTGGGGGAACAAATTTGGAAACTTTCTACATTGTCATTCCTAAAGTTCATTTCTCAGTGTTTGGGGCAATTGTTTATCCAGCAAATCTGCACATCGGATTAAAAGAGACATGTAATTGCAGTTGTGATAGGTACTGCCAAAGCACCTGCTTAAGAAGTTGAACTAATTTATATTTCCAACAGCAGTGTAAGAAGCAACGTGCTTTCTCCACACACTGGACATCACATTATCTTTAAACTTTTTAAAATTTTGCTCATCTAAAATGTAAAAAGTGATATCCTGAAATATTTTTCACTTGTATTTCTCTTGATATGAGTGAAGTCTGAGTCATTTTATATTATCTGTGGACTTTTTCTTTTATGTACATATCTGTATTCATTGCTTTTCACGTTTCTGATCTTATGATCCCTTTGAAACTATCTCTATCTATCTATCTATCTATCTATATATGTATATGTACATGTGTATGTATAGAACTTACTGGAATTTCCTTTGAGTTATTTTGCTTCCTTTCTCATTATCATAGACTATTTTCTTCTTTTTCTCTAAATTTCACAATTTGAAGGATAGTCTTTGATACCTTTTGGTCTCTTTGTGAACAGAAAATCAATTCCCAAGTTAAGTCACTTTCGCTTTTGCAGTGTCACTCAAATACAGTTATTCCTTCATGTCCTTAACTTCTAAATCCTGTCTTGGCTCTTAGTATCTTACCACTGAACATTATATTAATTTTATTTTTCAAAATCAGTTCTATTTTACATCTTTTCTTTGAGACAAAGCAAGATGTCAGACACTAAAGAAATTAATTTGTAAAATTAAGTTTAAAGGTAGCCAGTGAAAATTATAGGACTTTCACAATGGATATCAAGAAGAAACTTGTAGTTTTTAGGCATGGATCCCTAGTGAATACCAAAGTTGCAAAGAAACCATACTGCGAGATTTGGATATACATGGCCATATTTAAAAGAGATGTCTGTGTTAACCTTATAAAGTCAAAAGGTATCAATTGAATGTCATTTGATTGTCAAACATTGTGCTAAAAGTTAGAGAAAGAGCTCTGTGCTTAGCTATGAGACAGTATCAGCTAGTGGGAAACACGTTTGTAGAAAGAAAAAAATTTTAATAGAAATTGATAAGTATTATGATAAGGATATTTATATGAATGTACTTATTCTTCCTTGATCTCTGGTTAAAGATATAAAAATGTTTTCACTAATTCTATTTTAAGTAATTTTTGATTATCCTAATAGAATATCACACAAATAGGAAAAGATTTGTATATTTTCTATGAATTTATTTGTAGAAAATGCTATTTTTTTGTGAGCTACAGATATTTGAATGTATTTACATTTTTGAGTTTTGTAAAGTATTGCTGCCAAAAGCACATTTTGAATATATCATTTGTTTATTAGCTCGACAAATCTGCTTCCCTTGCTGTTACTTATAAGCTCTCACTTCTTGTTATTAATGTCAAAGTGTGCAACCACTGTATTTTATCTTTGAATGCATAAAGGAACATTGAAGGAGGTGGTAGTAATAAACGTGGAAGAAACAATATGGAGTTCCATAGAATATCAATATATTAGGAAGCATAGGATCTTGACTTGTTCGTCTTTTTGTTCATAAGCTTTGATACCTTTTGGTCTCTTTGTGGACAGAAAATCAATTCCCAAGTTAAGTCACTTCTTCTTTTGCAGTGTCACTCAAGTTCAGTAATTCCTTCATATCCTTAACTTTTAAATCCT